CCGTACTCCCAAAGCCAGCGAAAAAAAAAAAAAAAAAAAAAAAAAAAAAAAAAAAAAAAAAAACGCCCATTCTGGCTTCAGACATCACAGCATTCCTTAACAACATTGAAGTTGGGGGCGCGGGGGGGCGCGAGGGGCAGATAATTGGCTGAGAGTAGATGGGTGTGTTTTTTTCTTTTCTTTTCTGTGTGTTTTGTGTTTGCTTGTCTTGTTGTTTTTCTGTCTTTTTTCGCAGAACTCGGTATGTGGTTCTAACAGTTGATAGGTCAATGTGTGTCCTACGTTTCAAGCTAAAGCTGTAAAGTTCTAGATTGGGAAGCATATGTGCTTTCATCATTCAAACTTAATCTAAGATTATGTGTCTGTTTATCTCAGGTTTTTCACTATTCAAGACTTAAAGATTTCGATTTGCTTCTCTGATGGCAGATCTACTACAACATTAGTAATTTCAGGGGCTAGTGGGCAGTATCATTCAAATCAGGTAGTCGCTCAGGATATTTATAAGCCAACTTCTAGTATCTAACCAGTGCTTCTTCCAATGATACTGTTGGTAGTGTCATTTTATGCGATTCCACCATCCCATTTCAAATCCTTACATGGTAACTTCTGTATCACACTTAAGCCATACAAGTTACTAGCATCAAACCAATTAATATAACTGCTGTCTTTTGGCTCAACATATTCATCCTCTACATACTGCTTAGTTGCTTCAACCTTTTTGCCCGCTGTCTGCACCATACCGCCTCTAAGTTCAGCCTTGATCATTTCATACATTTCAACGCCAGTTCATGTTGATATCGCATCAAATGCGAAGTCAGGTGATGTACAACAATTCACAGGGTCTAAACCACAGTGTTTCATCACACTGTGCTTCTTCAAGAGAAACAAACCAATATTATCCAATGTCAAGATATGTCCATCTCATTTTTGCTTCTTCATATTCATCATCTCCGGACGCGGAAAGATCCATCCTGGATCATGCTGGGAGGGCCGGGACACTGCGCGGCCGATATCCAGACGCACCGATATCCACCCTGGAGGGGCTTTTGGGGGATATCAGTACGCAACGCTATCCGGACGCGCCCATATCCACCCTTGATAAAACAAAAGTATCGGCGTGTACGCCGATATCCGATCGCGGTGGTATTTGTTTTGAGGGCCCGAAGGGGATATCAGCGTGTCGGCTGCACCGCGAAATGAAGACGCCAGCGCAAAAGGATTGTGAACAAGCTCCTTCTGGAAACCAGTCATAGGCGCCCATTTAACAACAAAAATGGTCTTGCAGGGACCTCCAGTCAGGTTCAATAGTGGGTGAGGCAGCGATTGTATAAAGACCATCCATGATCTAAACAAATCTATCCGCTTCAGCACCCGCCTCAGGGTTGCCTACGTTGGGGGAAGACATGGACAAAGGTCGGGCAATTTGAGCGAGGAGCTCTCAATCCCATGGTCTCCTCGAGGTCAAAGACCTGCAACGGAGTCACCACAATGTCATAGGTCAGAAGCAGCAGGCTTGAGATGCCCCAGACTTGTCTGAAGAGGCCTCCGCAATGTATTGTCGATTTCGTCAAACTAGATATGGCTCTGCCTCATTTTTGCGCAAACCTTCTTGAGGCTTGTTTAAAGGAAACCCGTTATTATTGTTACTGCTTGTATCTTTTTTAAGGGGGCCCCTTAGTTGGGATATTTTTGGATTACCAACATTTTGGGGGTTCCCCTATTTGACACATACCCACATTGATGGCTTCAACAGCAGTTGTAAGCCTGTGAAAGCATCGTCAAGACCAGCGATGTGAGCTCCTTTGCATGGTTGGTTTCATCCCTAGTTTTTGTCATACGGCCACATCGACAACCCTGTTCGCCAATGCTGCAGGGTGTCTCCTCGGATCCTGCAGCTTGACAAATATCGGGCAGGCACGGGCTTGTTGCAGCAAACCTTTCTGATCTCGGGAACCCAAGGTGGCGATGCTGCCCGCACGGCCCGTGCCCAGAGAGAGCTTTGAGCCCATCTGCTCTTCCTGGGCCTGCTGTCTCCAAAAATCCCGCATCTGCACTCCTTGATTGGACAAGGACAAAGTCTGGATAGATTGCAAACATTAGATTCGCCAATACGAAAATGCCAGCAATGCGAACTAGTTACCCAGTGGCCTCGGGGAAATGAGCATCCCTTTAGTGGGAGCAACACAAATGAAACAAAGAAACATATCGATTTCCTTGAACCGTGGAGGCAAGAACAAAAGGCCGTCCCTGAGTCTGGGCAAGATGCCAGGCTCCAGCACCGGGCTTTCTCATCTTCAATTCCATCCTTCTGCTTATTCTCATTTACCTCCATGAGAACCTGCAACTGCGCCACCGGCGGAGGTGATGGAGGTGGGTCGGAGGACTGACGACCCACTCCTCCCAGGGCAACCGTCGCTATCAAAACTGGGAACTTTCTCAGCGGCTCTGAACCTCTGTCTCACAAAATCTAAATGAACAACCTGACACGAAACTAACATGAGAAGACACTCTGAAGAAAAACTAAACAAGCGCTGAAAGGTAGTTGTGACACAAACCCTCGTTCCACACGGCAGGGTGCTCTCTGAGCCGCGGTCAACATTCAGTGGGATGTTGGCACGCCCCAAGCCAGTTGTGGCAACACAGCAAGCGTAACACATGTCAAACCAACCGGTGACGTCTCTATGTTGTCGAGACTCCCCCCACCAGCGGTCAAACAATCCAAATAATCAACGACAATTCTCGTCTAACAGGGCCTCATCAGGGCTAAAGGACTAGTTCTTGGGGCTTGGGGGAACTACCTGCTTTTCATTTGTCCATTTGCAATATCGGAGCCGGCGCGATTCTTGCTGGACAAAATTATATTCCTCCATTTGGAGCTGCCTTCATGTTGCGAGAATGAGGAGGGGCAACTTGACCAAACCCACGTCCGATCCGAACAAGCGACAAAGCAAAAACCGCCATACCAATTAGCTGCTTTATGAACCACCTCGCCCGCTGTCACCAAAGTGAACAAATAGAGACATAATAATGTGTTTAATGACTCTGTTTTAGTCTTATGTACCTTATATACATAGATATAAACACGGAAAATAATATGCGCGTATCTTCTCAGTCACCCAACACAACCAAGAAGCCCTTCAACCATGAATCAAGCAACTAGCCAGGCGCCAACCTCACCCGTGCGTCACACCAAAGTAGAGCCGGAACTGCCAAGGAGGGCGTCTAAGCAGTCATTCGCACAACAGTATAGGGGTACCTTCCCCATTCTTTCCAGGGATCCTTCTTTCTAGAAAACCTCCGAAAACGCAGGGAAAACAGACGGTTTTTGGAAATCACGATTGTTGAAAAAAATGGGGCATCAACCCCGAGAAAAAGCGGCATCATCCTACGCGGTACTCGACCAATATCAGCAAATTTGTTCGCCGATATCATCAAGCTACGACAACCAACTAGCCAGGCCACGGAGACCTTCTGAGCTACTCTTTGGCACGTCTCAAATCAGCGACCGTTTATATAAAAGGAATGCCTTTTTTGGTGAGCAGAGGTAAGAGGGCACGTCTCTCTCCACAGCATTATGCAAAATCGAAATTGATGTAGTATAGATAGTTCAAACCAGGCCTGGGCATTGTTGGGGAGTCATCTTGGGGATATGTGACAGTAAGTAGTCCCTTGCAAAAGGAGGCCAACGAAAAACCATCCACGAACGGAGTCTCTCAAGATCTCATGTTGAACGCGCGCCAATAGCGGTTGGTCGTACCCTTTCCAACCTGACAGGTACGGATCTTGCTTGTAGTGCCCAACAAAACACACTGAGTGGTCTCCGCAGGGAGGTCTTTCTGCCTTTCACTCTCAGGCATCCAAATGCTTGGCCGTATTGGTCCTGCCAGCCTACACTGCACCGGGCGGCTCTACGTGGTTGGTCTTAGTTCCCGCCAGCCTCCTACTGTCACAAGGGTTGCCATTGGCCTTTGTTGAGAGTCAGCCATTTAACAGGAATCGTCCCAATGATTATTGTGGAGGGATGGCAATGGCGGGAGGGGCCATGCTGTGAGGCCGTAAACCCCAGTCGCTCAATTCATCTATTCCCCCCCTCCCTTCATCCATCCATCCGTCCGTCCGTCCTTTCATCCATCCGTCCGTCCGTCCTTCCATCCATCCGTCCGTCAATCCATTCATCCACTTTGGGCCACATCCAGAAGATCCACAATGTTGAAAAGAGGCTACTTGACTCGACTCGAAATAACAGGGACAAAAAAAAAACATCAAAGCTAGCCTGCGACAACTGGGCTTCACCACCAACATGTTTGCGTTCCGAACGCGAGCTTCAATTGGATGTCACCTAAATTGGGAATATCCAGGGTCCACGCTTTTTTGGAGAGGGATTCCTTGGCGCCTGGATGCACAATGATCAGAGGCTAGGAGCATCACATTCGATGATCGATGGAAGGGACGCAGCTCTCAGTTGCAGATGCAGAATTCGGCCCCTTTCCCCAGCAAAACCAAGCCAAGCATGTTTTTGCACCCGTCCTCCCTTTTCCAGCGTCGGGGGTACTCCGTGTTCAAGGGAGGGACGGCGCCCCGACACCGCGCGCTCAAAGGAGGGGCGGCGCCCCGAAGCCCGCTCGATGGGTGACGCCGGTGGACGGCAGCCCATGCTGAGGTGTGAGGCGCTGCCGGTGTGTTCCCAGCCTTCCACCCGCGTTTTGTCAATGCGCTGCTGTGCTGAAGAATCAGGGCTCGAAGGACTCGATCCTGCGGAGTACTGCGTGCGTCAAAGTCCAATCAAGAACTCATGTGAAACCAGCCATCTCTAGGCTTCCTAGTTCTGACACATGTGTTCATTTCCACCAAAAAAAGGCACCCCCAGAAGCATGCACGGGCCAGGGCCAACAGTCGTTGCATAGGATGTTATCAAAATCTCAGTTGCTCATGGAAATGTGGAGGGGTGCAACCCCGCAAACAATGAATCTACACATATTTTGCCTAACAGGGCCCAAGGTTGATATAGAGTTGGTGGAAGCTTTCCGTTTGCCAGTTGGCAAGATACAGGTGCCCACGCCCCATTGGCCCCGACACCTTTCACACGTAACGTGTCAAAACCCGTTGATCACCCGACTGAACAGTTGGCCTCGCTCCTCGCGGCTTGGCCAATGCGCTGCCTGACGACACTGCGCGGGCGAAGTTGCAGGAGCGAGCGCCCAGGGAGCTCTCCTTCAGAAACTCCACGTGCGCGGCATAGGTCTCCCCGAGGCGGCGGTGGAGGTCCCAGAAGCCGTGTTCCATGGCCATCGGAGACCAGCCAAGCGCCGGCCTGACCGGCCTGTCTAACAAAACAGAGGGTCCGGAGCTCGGGCAGGCTGGCGGGCGAGTTGGACACATGCAACATGACATAAAAACAAGCCTTGGCTTGGCTCTAAGAAGAGAGTGGCTGAAACCATAGAAGACGCCTCTGCTCCCAATCAATGAATCTTGGCCATTGGGGATTGAGCTTTGGCTCACTCTGGCGCCAAACCGACAGTTCGAGCTCTTCCAACTTTCAAGGGGAACCATACGTCAAAACACTGCGACTGAAACATGGAGAGCTGTCCCTTTTCAGTATCGGTGGTGTTATTCCTTGAACAAGTTAAGCGCACCGCTTCAAGCTAAAAGTTTAACTCTTAGTGGTTTAAAAGAAGACCCGTTAGTTGGCAAAAAGTTAAAGCCCTAAAATCCAAGCAAGATGCACCAAAGAAAACGTCCCGACAAAAGCCATGCGCTCAAACTCCGCATGCAACCAGCAAGGTGTTTTCGATGTGCAGGGTAACTGCTCTCGACAAGTGCAACTTAAAGTGAGAGGTTGAGTTATCAAACCATGAAGCCACCAAAATATCAATCCATCAAACCCGAACACCCCCTGCACTCGCGGAGACCGCAAGGCATGACACACTCAAACCAACTTCCATGGCTCTGGGTAGGTGACATGTGTCATGTTGAAATTGTCTCAACCACAAGCACCAAGCTTCTTTTGTGTGGCTCCTTTGCGCACAGAATGTTCAACAAACGGCTCCCTTAAAAACCTCCAAAGGAAGCCCTTTGCAAAACCAGGGTCACTCGCCAACGCCATGGGCGATGTTTCTTGACTAGAAGAAAGGCACCGGGAAAGGCAATCGACATCAATGATGGTTCACCTCGTTTTAAGCACCGGAACCGGAGCCAACAAATGCGTTGAACAGCCCACTCGCTTGCGCCCTTTGTGCTGCAATGCTGGGAGAGACAGAACCATGAAACTACTCCATGGCGATTCAGGAACCCAAACTAAAGCTTGATGATAAGCTTCAACCCTCATGTTGGTTCTGGCACGGTACGATAAAGTACGCGCATGTGTTTTTTGCGACAACAAGTGCGTTTCTGGCAAATCTAGTGCCCAGTTGCGATGAGGAAGTCTGCACTACCTGGCCCAGTGCTTCCAGCTAAAAACCTATCACGATGGCATATCCCCGGCAAGAATGTGTCCATTAAAGCTCCATCCTGCTAGATGCCAGCATCATCTGAACATCTGACCAAAACGACACATTGTGTTTCAGGCTTGCAATAAATCATGACCTAGTTAGGACAAATAAGTGTAGCTTCGAGCGGCCGTATGGGCACTGGGCCCCCGCGCCCACTTTCCGCGTGCGGCTGGCACTGGCGGTGCCCGCACCGGCGCCCGCGGCAGGGGCACCGGCGCCGGAGGGAGGCAAGCGCCCGGCCGCGGTGCGCGCGACTGGCGAGCACGCGGAATGGAGCTGACAGGTGGCGAAATCTTCGTTCAACATGGAGGGTTGGGCAATCCGAATGTGCTTCCTTAGTGGGGAATTTCAAAGGAGACCTCTCTTCGCTGCGGGCTGTGGCCGGCACAAAACCAAATATGCATTGATGGTAGATGATGCTTCCCCCTCGCGTTGACCTCACTCAATCGCTGGCCTCTGATGTAATACTTCTCTTTGCAACATACGACATGCAAAAGGCCAGGACCTACGCATTTCCCGCCATACAGTGGGTGGACAAAATCAGTCCGCACCACCATGGTTGAAGCCATCGTTTGTTGGTATTTACCAGGGGAATCGAATCATTCCAGGGTTTCTGAACGGTGCGAGAAGCGGATTTCGCAACCATCCACAGTATGCCTGGCCCAATCCCAAGCCTCTGTCCACCTGGGATGTTCCATTCGGTGAGATGAAGAAGGCTTTATGCAGTCTTGTGGTTGTAGCGCACACAGTCCGTGTACAAAATGGCACAATCTACATGGCCTTGTGTATTCATGGGCAAATCTGGACTTTCTGTCAACGCGGGCTTTTGGTTTTGCCACGTGACGTAAACATATGGAGCACCTTCTTCAGCTAGGTCTACAAAGCCCAGGATATTTGGCTGAACATGCAACTCCACCCATGGCTCACTACCCGGATTCGCCCGCAAGATCCAAATCTTGCTTGCCACGAAAGTGGTCGCACAAAATCCAGAAACCCAGGGGAGCTTGCACCTTCCACGACTCGCACCCAGCTACCCGGCCTGATGGCGGCACAATGGACCTGAATGGCAAGCTTCCACGCTGACACAAACGGTGGCCAGCCGGACAAATCCCAAAGCTGTCAGCATGGGTTGATATCTGTACGATTTCAACCATGCCAGCTCAGTCCCGCGTGATCGACTAAAATATTCGATGTGGGTGCTGGTACGACAAAGAACTTCGTAGCAGTGTTCCATAGATCATCCCAGCGGATGCAACGATAAATTCAACGAATGGAACCTTCAATAAGGAACCAAATGTCGGTCTGTGATTGGTAAGTGCGGCGAAACCAGAAAGGAAAAGGAACAGGGAATATAGAAAAGTAAGGTTTGGAATCCTTTGGTGCTGGGGGATCAACCCTGTTGGGCCAACCCCTACTGCAGGAAAACCAATTCAGAACTGTACCGGGCACTAAGCAATACGAAACCAGCCCCAATGCAAAAACAAAACCAATACTGCGCGGTACTAAATGGATGACTAATTGTACAAATGCTGACCCCAATTTGTTTTGAGGTGCTGCTTGTTGTACCCCTGTTTTGCAGCGTGTATCGCCCCGCGCACACATTGCACGTGGACGCTCACGCACTTGAAATGTTTGCCTACTACATTGAGTTTTCAACTACCACCTTCAATCTTGGACTGCTACCTACACCACCCGAGGAAAATTGAAGGGAGGATGGTCCGGCATGGTTGCCGACAGCGGACGCACCGCAGAAGCGGCTATACACAGATACTGCAGGATCTTGGTTGGAGGCAATGATGGAATTTGCGTGTGCTAGACTGGGGACCCATTCAAAATAGTCGCTTAGATTTGGTTCACCTCGCGAATCAGTCTGCAAGAAGTAGGGCGTAACCCAAGCATTTGACAGCTCCTTCTAAGCGAGCTTGGTCTGGGAGCGTGGCGCCACTTTGGCACACCCCCGCAACAAATCAAACTGCAAATCCCAAGCAAAAATCCAAGCCTCAAACCAAACAAACCAGTCCGGCACACAACGGAAAGCGCCTGCCACGGCATGCGATGGCTTTCCCTTGTTTTCCCTTGCTTTCCCTTGCCTTCCTTCGCTTGACCTTGCTTTTTCCCTTGCGTTGCCTTGCTTTCCCTTGCTTTCCCTTTCCGTTGCTTTCCCATTTTCTTGCTTTCCCTTGCTGTCCCTTGCTTTCCTTTGCTTTGCCTTGCTTTGCCCGTGCTTTAGCTTGCTTTGCCTTGCTGTCCCTTGCTTTCCCTTGTTTTCGCTTGCTTTCCCTTGCTGTCCCTTGCTTTGCCCGTGCTTTTGCTTGCTTTGCCTTGCTGCCCCTTGCTTTACCTTGTTTTCCCTTGCTTCCCTTGCCTTGCTGTCCCTTGCTTTCCCTTGTTTTCCCTTGTTTTCCCTTGTGTTCCCTTGCTGTCCCTTGCTTTCCTTTGCTTTGCCTTTCTGTGCCCGTGCTTTTGCTTGCTTTGCCTTGCTGTCTTGCTGTCTCTTGCTTTCCCTTGCTTTGCTTTGCCCGGGCTTTTGCTTGCTTTGCCTTGCTGTCCCTTCCTTTCCCTTGTGTTCCTTTGCTTTGCGTTGCTTTGCCCATGCTTTTGCTTTCTTTGCCCTGCTATCCCTTGCTTTCACTTGTTTTCCCTTTCACTTGCTTTCCCTTGCTTTCCCTTGCCTTCCTTTGCTTTGCCTTGCTTTACCCGTGCTTTTGCTTGCTTTGCCTTGCTCTCCCTTGTTTTCCCTTGCTTTCCCTTGCCTTTCCTGGCTGTCCCTTGCTTTCGTTTGCTTGTCCCTGCTTTCCCTTTCCCTTTCTTTCCCTTGCTTTGCCCGTGCTTTTGCTTGCTTTGCCTTGCCTTTCCTGGCTGTCCCTTGCTTTCCTTTGCTTGTCTTTGCTTTCCCTTGTTTTCCCTTTCCCTTGCTGTCCCTTGTGTTCCTTTGCTTTGCCTTGCTTTGCGCTTTGCCTTGCTCTCCCTTGTTTTCCATTGCTTTTGCTTGCCTTCCCATGCTTCTCCTTGCTTTCCCTTTCCCTTGCTTTCCCTTGCTGTTCCTTTCTTTCCCTTGGTTTCCCTTGCTTTCCCTTGCTGTCCCTTGCGGTCCTTTGCTTTCCTTTGCTTGTCCTTGCTTTCCTTTGAGTTGCCTTGCTTTCCATTGCTTTCCCTTTCCCTTGCTTTCCCCTGATTTCCCTTGCAGTCCCTTCCTTTGCTTTGCCTTGCTTTGCCTGTGCTTTCGCTTGCTTTGCCTTGCTGTCCCTTGCTTTCCCTTGTGTTTCCCTTGCTTTCCCTTGCTTTTTTGTTGCTGTCCCTTGCTGTCCCTTGCTTTCCTTTGCTTTGACTTGTTTTGCCCGTGCTGTTGCTTGCATTCCCTTGCTGTCCATTGCTGTCCCTTGCTTTGCCTTGCTTTCCCTTGCCTGGCTTGCTTTCCCCTACTTTCGCTTCCTTTGCCCTTGCTTTCCCTTGGTTTGCCTTGCTTTGCCTTGCTGTCCCTTGCTGTCCCTTGCCAGCTTGACCCAAGTCAGAGCAAACCAACAACTGCACAACCCTCCTGCACTGAATCACATACAAGCAACAACCCAAACCAGCGCCCGTACTTACACACCCCGTGTCGTCTCCGTGGGACCTGCAAACCAGCCTTGCGGTAGCAGAAAGTGCTCCAAAAAATACTCCCAAAAAATGGGAGTATTTTTCATCCCCAGCATCGCCGACCACCACAAAAACTTCCAAAACAAGCGACATCCCCTGCATCCCCGGCATCCCCTGCATCCCCGGCACCCCTTGTGCGCCCAAGTCCGGCGAGGCCGGAAGCAAAGTAAAATGATGTAAAACTGGCACGCTTTTTGGCCCGCGAGAGCCACAGACGAAAAGGTCAGACATGATA